AGATAAAATATGAAAGTGTGTATTATATTATATATTTTTTTTTTTTTTAGAAATACAGTTAGGTAGTAGTAAGATTCCTTTCTTTCTATTGAGGTCAGACCTGTGTGAACCTTTCCAGGTGATAAATCAAAATCAGTGTGAGGAGGAGATCTGTTTTGTGGGAGCCTGGGTATTTTGGGGTGTGTTTGCATGAGAAAAAAAAAGCATACGAGTTTAAAATGGAATGACTGTTCAAGTTTACTCGCTATGAAACTCTTCCTTTGTGTCAGAATAAAAGCTTCAAAACAACGTAATCTCGAGCAGCTACTCCAGATTAATTCCATGTGGAGCAATTCTGAGCATGTTCCTGCACTCAGTTCCTCTGCGAAGTCCTGCTAGGTCAGTTCTGCAGGAGCTGAGGAACCTGCATCGTACTACTCTGCGATAAGTGGTCTGGCTGAAGCTGGTACAGTTAGGATGCAGGCGCATCACTGTAGTGTGGATGCTGACCAGCTGTTAGGAATTGAAAGATTTGTGTCTGTAAGGGACACCGACCACTGAAAGGTTGCCTCCCATGTCCTGTTGAAAATGTAACTCTGACTTCCGTGACAGTGAGGACGTCTTGACTAAGTACTGTGATTTTTCCAGAGTTCCCACCTGTGTTTTCTCCCACCTTCTGCCAACAGCATCAGGGAGGTTTCCCTTGTCATTTCCTCCAGCCCTGGCGTGGTGCACAAACTCTGCCAAAAATCACTCTTGAATGGAAATCTTGTCCTTTAGAGTCACTCTTTCTGTTTAGTGACTTGCCTTTGCTTCTGTGGAGATTCTTTTCTCTTTTTTTTTTTTTAAAAAAGAGCTTCCTTGAATTTCTGTGCTGCCTGTGAAGGTTTCATTTTATTTTCCATCCTGTACGCCAGGTTTTCATGATTTCTTAGGAAGAAGTTGTGGCAGAAAGGCACCACCATGACCTCCCTTTAGGGCCTCAGGTGAGGAATGAGCAATGAGCGATGAGCCCAGGTTTCAAAGCTTCCAGCTGCAGGTGCAGAATCACAGAACCATTCATGTCAAAAGGGAGCTTGCCTGGCCTCTGCCCCCACCTCCTGCCCAGTTCTGTGGAGCCAAGTCTTGAAAACTTCTCAGGATGGAAATTTCACCACATCTCTGGGAAACCTGTTCCCGTTCTTCACCATTCCTGCCCCACACTTGGAGAGAGAGCCTGGCTCTGTTTTCTCAGCAGTCTTGTCAGTACTGAAAGCTTCTATCGGTTTGTCTTGGAGCTGCCTCTTCTCCAGGCTGAGCAAGTTCATCTCCCTCAGTTTCTCCTGAGAGGGCAAGTGCTGCCGCCTCCTGAGCGTCCTGGTGGCCTCCACTGACCTCGCTTGAGTTTATCAGCATCTTTCTTGCAGTGGGAGATGCAGAGCTGGATGCAGTGTTCCAGCTGTTGCTTAATGATTGCTGAGCAAAGGGAAAAATTGCTTCTGTTGATCTAGTGACTGTCCTCCTGTTGTTCCACACCGGGATGCTGCTGGTTGTCATCCCTGCCATGGTCTGCTGCTGAGTCACATTTGTTCTGTTGTCACTGGGACCCCAGGGTCTGTGCAGTAGAGCTGCTCTCTGTCAGATTTCTGGTTTAGCTTCCTGATGAAGCTTGGCACTAGGTCACTCTCAAGGCTAAAGGATGAGAACACTGAGCTTGTCACTGGTCTCAGCATCAGAAGTTGTTCTGAGAAGTGTTGCTGTTTGTGACTGTGCTCTCTTTGTTGGTGCTACCCTGCCATTGTCATCCTGGCACCAGGAAGTGGGATCTTGGGGTCCCTTGCACAGGTCCCTTGGCCTGGCAGGTCTGGCTGCAACACCTGCTCCTTCTGCACACTCTGCACTGGCCTTTTCTGTCATTTAATGCATCATGAGGTTCCAGCCAGGGCTTTTCCCTGGTTTTACCACCAGATGTTTCATAGCATGGGGAGTGAATGGTTCACTGAAGGCAATTCTTCTTGGTGTGAACACAACCTGTTTATCCCTTTCCTACTCCCTCAGCCCTGTTCCTTCAGGAACAGCTGTAGAGTACGATGCTTCTCTTGTAGAAGTTAATCACAAGGCTGCTGGACTCCAGTCCTTAGGTTTCTGATGGACTTAGTTCCTCAGTGAGATAAATGCTGTTGAGAAGGGGGCTCATGACCTTTCCCAGCAGGTCCCAGAACTGGTGTCTCTCCTTTGGCTTAGGAAGGTGTCATCCTCATCGGTCGAACAGGGGGAGACTTGGGAAGGTGTAGCTGACTTCCACAAACTGTCTGCTTCAAAGAGAATTTCTCTTTTGCTTCAGGCCAAGTTGTAGAAAAAATATCACAAGCATATGAGCCAAAGGGTTAATCCTGTGTTACCATCCTAAATATTTGAGCTCCTAGGGTTAGTTTGAGAAACATACTTTGATTTTACCTGCACAGGCTCAGCCCCTTTGGCAGGTTTCCTCTATTGTCTTCTTCCACTCTGGGAGAACAGAGGGTTTTTGTCTTTACTCGGCATCTTCCTAGACGGTCCTAGGGATGCAGGTAGATCTGTTACCAGGGAGAACTGAGTGGGTGACTGCTTGGTTCAGTCACTGATAAAATATTTTCTGGTACTCTTTACTGAAGTTTATTTCAGATTTGCTTACTCCAACGTTTGCTAGGAGGCAAGATCCGCAAGATCCGTGGTTTACGTCTTCCCCTGGGGAATAATTTTCTGTAATTGTGCTGACAACCTGGCCAGGTGTAAGAGTTGAATTGCCAAGGTAAAACAGACTGGTAGGAGCTGGCTGAGGGTAGAGGGTAAAGAGGAGTCTTCAGGTCCGTAGAAGAGTAAAGATACTCATTTAAAGGACTGGAATTCAGTAAAGCCACGAGCATTCCTGTTAACTACCAAGGTAATAATAGTTATTGGTAAATTGCAAATTAACTCTTTGCTCGGGAATCTCACAAAGACCCATCCTGTGCCATTCAGGTTAAAATCTGGGACATCCCCAAGTACTTGCTAACAAGAAACATCACCACCCCAAAGAAGGAGCTTCTTGGGCACGTTCGAAGAGTCGGCCTCATTGAATGGCATCCCACTGCCAATAACATCCTCTTCAGCTCTGGCTATGACTACAAGGTGGGTCTATTCTCTGAGGAGCTCTCCCGCCGGGACACTCTGTTTGGTGTTTGGAAACTGGCTTTAATTTCAAGCTGTAAGATAATGCTAAAGAGTTCATAAGCCTCTTTCAGGGGGAAATCCTGTGGAGACCCCAAAGGCAGAAGGACGCTGCTAGAAATCCAAAGAGACTTTCTAATTTTTCAGTCTTTTGATGAACTTTGGTGCACTCTGTAAGTCTCTGTGACTGGATTGGATACGGTGTGAAAGCCATGCACTTGTGTTTGGTTTCAGTCTTCTGCTAGTACCAATATCTGCACTGACGCTGGCCATTTTTTTTGTGTATAAAATGTGGTTGCAAAGGAAATTAGCATGTTAGACACTCTGAGCAGACCCTGTGTCCCTGATATATTGTGTTAAGTACCAGGAATTATTTTAAATGCTGGAGAAAAACCACTTATGATGGTAAGACCTGTATGTGTAGAGAACAGTGAATAGGGTGCACAAAGTCCTCAGCTGGTCAGGCAGCAAAAGGCTCATTTTCTGGTTTTTTGGGTTTTTTTTTGCTTCAGATAATGATCTGGAACCTCGACTTCAAGGAGGCTGTCATCTCGAACCCGGTGAAGGTCCTCGATGCTCACAAAGACGTCATCCTCTCCATGTCATTCAACACAGACGGCAGCCTCCTCGCCACAGCCTGCAAGGACAGAAGGATCCGTCTGATCGACCCTCGTGCAGGAACAGTCGTGCAGGTAGGTTGGGTGCGGAGGTTTGTGGTCCAGCTGGTCTCACCTCTTGGGGTGTTTCCTGTTCTGGGTACATTCATTGCCCTGAAAGGAAACACATTTGTGCTCTGCATTACCCAGGGTGCCAGACGGTTCTATTGCTTTCTGCTTCCCACACTTGATGTCACTGTTGAAAACAATGACAGCTACAGCACGGCAGCATCTTGCCACCATGCTCCTTGCTCTCTGGAACCCTTCTTGCGCTGTTTTCACAGCTGCTTCCTGCAGTGCTCTGTGGGATCCTTGGGAGGGCTGGCAGAGATCAGGTGGGCAGGTGGAGCAGGTGTGCATCTGTCCCACTGCCAGGGTTGTCCGTGTTGCCTGCTCTTTGTGCCTGTGGGTGAAGCCGGCTGCATCTTGTAGGCATTTGCACAGATTTACGTATGCAGAAACTCCTGCCTACAGCTGTGTAAGGATTACCCTCTCGCAAGTATGTACGTCAATAGTTGGGCAGGTTGACGAGGCTTTTGGGAATGGTCCTGAGGAGTTCAGGCCACCTTTCTCAGATCCCCATGAAATCTTGCTCGCTGTAGCTCAGCCAGGCTAGGCAAATCTTTTGGATGTGACTGAATCGGAGGTCTCCTGTAACGCAAAATGTGTGCAACAGCTTACTCATCTTTTACTCACGTGGTGTCCCTTCTCTTCCCCTAGGAAGCCACCTACAAGTCTCACCGAGCCCACAAAGTCTTGTTCCTCGGAAATGTGAACAAGCTGTTCTCTACTGGAACATCTCAGTGGAATAACAGGCAAATTGCGTTATGGGATCAAGTGAGTTGGACCAGCAGTCTTAACTACACCAGCTTCAGTTTTCTCACTTTTGCTGTCACTCTACCTTTTCCACCTGCCAAATACCCAGGAACTGTTTTGTAGCAGCAATTTGGAAGTGATCTGTCAAATTCTTAATGAGCTATAGATCTTACTGCTGTGGCACTGGCAACTGAGCATGAATTTCTGAAGAGCTTCTCAATACTTTCAGTATAGAAATCCACCACAACAAAGAGAATGCTGTGCCAACTACAGGAAAAAGTAATTAAGTGGGCTTTTGCGTGGCCACTGCAGCTCTGACTTAGCAGCAGGTCTTATTGGTCTTACTGGAAAATGTTGCTGGCGGTGGAAATAGAGATGGGCTCTAGACACAACCAGCTCAAGTGATGCTCTCAATGGAGAAAAAGGTGTGGGATGTTTGTGATTTCTGATGATTCCTGACAGTAGAATATTAAGGTAGCACGCACTGGTCACTTCCAGTGATCTCCTGTCATGATGGCTTCTGGCCTTATGACACCCTGAAGTCCTCTGTGCCACTCGTGTGCTTTGGCACAGACCCTGCCCAGCAGGCATCTTTCTGAGGTCTGTGCCCACCTGTGTCATTGTCACATCTGAACAGAAGCTCTGACTTCCCGGAGCCTGCAGCTGGGCTGTTCTGCAGGACAAAGTATGTATTAACCCTGAGCTAAATACGTATTTATAGGACAGCAGGCACCATGGGACATTACACTCTGCCCCATTGGTCCTCCCAGAATTGCTCCCTTTGGCAGTGCCGGGGCAGCTTTGGGTCAGACACGCCAGCCTTGTGTGGGGACCTGTGCAGTGGGACCTGTTGCCCTTGCGGGGACACCTTCCCACTGGGCAGTGCAGAGACTGCCTGGCTGCTCTGGTGGAGGTGCCCTGTCGTGGAGATACCGGCGTGACTAGAAGTGTTGAGGGAGGATGAGTGTGCGGTGTAGACTTGCCCTGGAGGCCCTTCTGTCTCCCTGAGCCCGGTGGCCTACCCGTGTTTCTTGTCGTATTTACCCCTGAACTGTCAGGTACCTGAGTTGTTCTAGTGGTAGGAAATGGTGTCTGAGGTGCTGTGCTCAGTCAGGATCTGGGGACAGAGCACATGTTTCCCACCCACAGAGCTTTGGATGAGTCTGTGCCTGACCCTGCTCAGGGCAGCTGGCCACGGGCTGGTGTCGTCACTGAGCTGTGCTCACGGACAGCTGCCAGGTGGGGTTCAGGAGAGGGGTCCCTGACCTGAGGGGGCTGGCAGGTGACTGCAGTTGTCTGTTTTTCCTGTGTCCTGCCCAGAACGACCTTTCCGTGCCTTTACTGGAGGAGGATCTGGATGGCTCCTCGGGACTCCTGTTTCCCTTCTACGACTCGGACACACACATGCTTTACGTGGTGGGAAAGGTAAGTGCTCTCCACATCAGCAAGTGCTGCCCTGCTTGCTTCTTCTCCTGGCCTGTGTTGTGTTGCGCTGAGGTCAAAGATGCTGCAAAGATGCAGCACGTTACCCTAAGGATGTGGGTGATGGGGCAGGGCATGAGGGTGCTGTAGCATCACGTTTGCCACTGCAGACACACCATGTGTGCTGTGGGGAGGGACACTGCAGAGCCCCAACCACCCCACACAGGAATCTGGGGGTGAATATTTGGCTCATCCTTGATCCCACGTGGCTTCTGGGGCCAGGCAGTCTTCTCAAGCCCTCGTGCTGAACAGCTGAGCCTGGCTTACATTAATTTTCTTTGCCTTTAGGGTGATGGAAATATCCGGTACTATGAGATAAGCCCTGAGAAACCATACCTGAACTACCTGATGGAGTATCGTTCTCATTTACCACAGAAGGGGATTGGTGAGTGGCAGCATGTGTCTGACGTTACGAGAGGGTAGTTACATCTTTGTTTTAGAGGCTGTCAGAGTCCAGGGCTATTCCAAATACCGCTTAGAGATGAAAGTGGATCTGATTCCAGTCTTCACCCAGGTTTACACGTGCAAACAGTCACCTTGACCCAGCTCACCCGCATGTCACGGGTGGTTTTACAGCTTGGAGAGATCCCTTCTGAGCAGCAGAGCAGGGACCAGGCAGCTCTGCCAGTCGCTGCTGCGTCTCCTCTCACACACCTGCTCAAGGCAGAGGGGAGGACAGTCTGGATGTAGAGGTGGAGGATTTTTGGCATTGAACTCTGAATATTGCTTCCACATGGGGGTTTCTCTGGTCGTGGATCCCCCATATCTTAATGGCTTCACTCTTATCACTTGCCCACCTTCTGGCATTTCCCGTTCAGAGAGAGTCCTGCTGTGGCTGGGTCACCTCTCCTCCACTGGAGATCTTTGCTTATTGACCATCCATGCACTACCCGCTGCTCAACTCATTGAAGCTACAAACGTTGCCTTTCAGCCCCCAGACCTTATTGAAAGCCCTTTGAACCTTCTCCAGCTGACCCTGTGAGCCATATTCCTCCACGGACTGATATGTTTTTAGGACTATTTGCCACCCCTCCACACCACCTGTGGACACTCCCATCCTTCCAGGACATGAGTACAAATATTTAGCCACACTGGATTTTGTGCCTGCATGTCTCCTTCAAAAAGATGTTGGAAAGGAATAAATTATTTGAAACTAAACTGGAAGATCTCCTGTTATTCAGCTTTTATAATCCTTCCAACATCCTGATTTTAAATTGTGTGGCTCAGCCAGTCCCTGAAATACCAGCGGTGCTGTCTGACAGAGCAGATGTTCTTGTGCTTCTCGTGCCCTGTTTTGCTGTGGGACACTCCAGGGTGCAGGATGTTGGACTTTAGGGGCTTCCAGCCAGGCCCGTGCGGCTGTTCTGCTGCTGCTGAGCTGCCCCGAAATCCCTTCCTGGTGACCCTGATGGTCAAGTTCTGCGGCATCACCTGCCAGGTCTGTTCAGTTCTGTTCACTCTGGTTGCAGCTCATGAGAATGAGTAAGAAACTGGAGTCTTGGCACAAAACTCACAGACCTGGTTTGTAGCTCCATGGTCTGATGGGGCAATAAATTATTTAGTCTTGTTATTTGTGCAGCTGAGGCAGTTTTGGTGCAGATTTCAGGCCGTGCTGCTGTGCAGCCAATGCTGTGACTCCTCTTGTTGTCTGGGGACCCTTTTCCCATGGCAGATGACATGAACTTTCCCAGGTAGATTTACACTCCGTTTGTTTCGTGCTGTCCCACCAGGAATGATGCCAAAGAGAGGCCTCGAAGTGTCAGCATGTGAGATTTTCCGTTTCTACAAACTGATCCCGACTAAAAGCCTGATTGAACCCATCTCCATGATTGTGCCTCGACGGGTGAGTTAACCTCAGGTCGTGTTCCTGTCTGGAGCAAATACCAGTGAAAAGAGAGCAGTGCCTCCTTTCTGGAACTCTCAGGGGCAGGAGAGTAGATAGAACAAAGGATTTTTTCCTCTCCTATTCTGAGCGACTAAGCTGTTCATTTTTTGAGGCATCCCTGCCAAGAAATCCCGGCTGGGTGACTCCAGAGTTGGGTCTCTGTGTAGCAGCTGACTTTGTAAGACATGCTTATCGGTCTACAAGAGGTCTCTGTCAGGGTGACTGTCTGGCTGTGATCCCTGAGCTGATGGCATCGGTTTGACATAACAGAGAGCGAGAGGTGGGGGATGATGTTGAGTGATATGAAAATCTCCTTGTGGAGGGAAGAGGAATCACCCTGGCAAAAAGGGAAAGGTGGCTGTTCAGGTCTTCACTGAACGGGTGCAGCTGTGTCAGAGACAGCTGTTCTGCAGCGCGTAGGATGTGACCCTTTGCACTGGAGGTGGTGTAGAACGAGGTCTCAGAGCTGGTGTGGCTGGACAGTGATCCTGGTCAGAAATCTTGCTAGCCAAAGATCCAGTGGAGATGTCAGCACTGTGCCCTGTGCTTCCAGAAACACTGGAAGGCGTGAGTGCCTTGAATCCAGAGAGGCAGCAGAGCTCATGCCCATTGCAGCCGTCCATCAGGCACGTTCCTCCAGTGCGATCTCCTCGACCACTTTCTATCAGCTAATGATCAACTGCTGATTTGTGACTTGTTTTCCATCCTCCTTCACCACTTCTTCATACTTGGGAATGCTGGGTTAGCCTGTATCACAAACCTCTCCCAGTCTGTTGTCCGGATGCATAAAGACCTTATTGTCAGGAATTAAAGTGGGCCTCTGTGTGCAGTTCTTCTGAGCTGGGGTGAGGAGGAGAGAGGCTCAGGGCAGGTGAGAAGGCTTTTTGTCTGTGCCAGTGAGTGCTCGTGACACTCGCTATGCCGAGGTGGAGCAAAATTCTTTCTGCATCGCAACCCAGGATGGTGCCTCCAAGCCAAAACCTCACTGAGACAGTAACTCTGGACTTTTGTCTGTTTGCAGTCGGAGTCGTACCAGGAGGACATCTACCCCCTGACCACAGGGGCCCAGCCAGCGCTGACGGCGCAGGAGTGGCTGAGCGGAGTTAACAAAGGTCAGCAATGGAGATCCCCAGGGCTTGGGTGAGCTGCCCCTGGCTCTCTGCCTCCGAATTACCAGTGAACAAGGAGGGGAGGAGAACGAGAGACAGAACAAACGTGTCTGTGAGCTGAAATAGTGCAGTGGCTGAACTACTCACCGCTCTGGGTTCTGGAGGTTGTTTGAATGAATTGCTGACGGATCTCCGACCGTGGTTCATGAGTGCTAATCCATCGCCTGCTTCCTCCCTAGGGCCCCTGCTGGTGTCCTTGAGACCCGGCTCTGGAGCTGTCAGTTCCTTGTCGCATTTTCTTGAGCCAGAGCCTTCTGACCTGAGCCAGCACCAGGGCTGGGCAGGAGAGATGCAAGTGGAGGAAATGCAGGACCCAAGTGAGGCTGAAGTCAGCAGAAAACATCGGAAGGTGGAGGAGGAATTGCCAGATCAAGAGCCAATGTGCATCTCCAATGGCTTTGACATGTTTGAGTGTCCACCACCCAAAACCGAAAATGAGGTGAGAATATCTGAGGTGAAGGACTGGTGTGGGGGGAAGGCCGGAGCCAGCTGGCAGAAGCGTCTTCACAGGGTGGCAGAATCCGGAAGGGGTTGATTGCAAGCCCATCCCAGTGTGAGCCCTTTGTTCCTTGTGCTGGCAGAAGCTCTGTGTGCCCCGGCTGCCACCTGGGGAGCAGAAGCGTGACCCAGCAGCACCTCAGCTCAGGGGGATGGAAAGGAAGGAGCAGTCGGCATTCTTGCTTTGTGGGTGTTCTCGTGGCACAGGCTGGCCAAAGGAGGTCCTAGTGACCTCCAGGTTCTGGAGAAGAGGAAGGGATTCGTGTGGTGTAACTCCTCTGTGAGAGCTGCTCTCAGAGAGCCCAGTGGGGCAGCAGGGACACCTGTGGGAGGAGAGAGTGCCCTGCTCCCCTGGCCCAGGGTGCGTCCCTTTGGTATTAAGCATTTACCTATACTGGGGATGCCGGCGTGGGCAGGGGGCTGGCCCTGCCCCTGTCCCAGCAGCACCCTGCTGGGGGATTGTTGGATCTCGGCGGCCCCCCACTGCTGACACTGGCTCCAGAAAAGGTCCTGCCAGCTCCAGGGTCTCCCTTCAGCCCTGTGCAATAGCCAAAGCTTGTGCAATGGCAGGTGTCCATGGTGGTTTGCAAGCTGTTGTTGGCAGCTCGGGGACATTTTCAAATACGTGCATCTGATTTGCTTTTAGGAACTTCATAGCTGTGCTCCAGTCCCCTCTTTGGCTCTGCAAGATTTTAGCATCTGCAGCTTGATGGGGTGGTGGTTTCCACAGCTGATTTTCCCTGTGGTTTGAAAGAGAATATTCTGCGTGTTTGAGCTGGCTCTCCAGAGTTACAGAAATGTCCCTCGCAGAGCTAGGTGCTCTGCTGCACAGTGAAAGGCCATGGTGGTCCTCGCTGGAGAGGACAGCCTGTGATCAGCAGGGAAAAAGAAGTGAAAGGACTTTCCTGAGGTCAGAGTAGATGTGGCAGATGCAGGAGTGCATACTCGAACACACTTTTTGTTTAGGGCCCCTTTGAGTGATCAGTGCTATGAAGGTTATCTTTTCTGGTCTTTTCCGTTGAATTAAGCAGATGCAGCATTACCAAACGGTGCTGAGAAACACCCGCACTCATGGCCCAGGGCAGAGGGCAGCAGGAGCTCTGCTGATGTTCTTTCTGTTGGCTACAGACGTCCTCCTTAGGTGCCCTTTCTCTCAGAATTGACAGGACCAGTGGCATTTGACAGGTGAAGTCTGCACTTTCTTAATGTAAAGGAAGAAAAATGTGACTTGTCTTACAGCTTTTGCAGATGTTTTACCGGCAGCAGGAAGAAATCCGTCGACTCCGTGAGCTGGTGAACCAGAGAGATGTGCAAATTAAACAGCTGGATCTGGAGCTCAGAAACTTCTGCATGGACACCAGCCGGTACTGAGGGTGCTGGCCTGCAGTTCTGTGCACCCCAGGCAGCTGGGGCGGACTCCAGTTTCTGTGGATGACTCCTCCTAAGGTTTTTGCCAGGAGAAAAGTTGATGCTTCAGGCAGCATGGACTTCCCTGGCTCATGGTGGTCACATTTCCCCAGTCATCACCAGACGGTTCTTGATGGACTCGCTGCACTTCCTCAGGCTGCCCTCGCTTGCCCGCTCACTCCTGTCCGAAACTCGTGCATTGATGCTGATGATGGACTTTGGAAATCTTGCTCTTCTGGCCCTGGAGGAGCCACCTGTGAAGCTCTAGGAACAACCTCTGTTGCTGCCCTCCACGTGACGTGCGGATGGCAGACTGAAGGCAGCTGCCAGCTCCTTCTCTCTTTTCTGGATTCTGCAGCAACTCCTGTGTGGCTGGGGCCCTCCTGCCACGGGAGACTGCTCCGCACGTGATCTTCAGAGGCACCTCTAGCTCCAAAACGAACCTCACGCAGCCCTCGCCTCATGTCTCAGCCGTACAGCTGGGTCACTGGCAAAGCCGTGGCTGTCCTGACCCAGTGCTGGGGATCGTCTTGCTGCAAGCGGGAGCTGTGCTGGGGCTGCCCAGGGCCAGCACTTTGGATACGTAAGGGGTAATGAGTGTTTGGGGGTGCTATTGTAAAGGGGTGGTGGTGGTGTGGGCTGTTTCTTACCAGAGCAGCTGCAGGGGCAGCAGAAGTCTCTGGGTCCTTTGAGTCAGTGGCCTTCCTTCCCTCCTCCTGCCAAAGACTGGCCACGGACAGCCGTGGGCCGTGGTCCCATGGTGCTGATCAGACAAAGGAGGACAACACTGACAGGTGGGCACTGGTGGCAGCAGGGGTTTTGCTGAGAGGGATTAGAAGTTCGGGGCAGGTGCAACCCGCTGCAGCCTTTCGACAGCGGTGCTAGAGGTGTGGGGTCAGCAGGCTGGTCGGGTCCTGGCTGTGTACGTGTACAACACACACAGCAACATTTGCAGCTGGAGTGTCCCTTGTCCTTGTGCCTGCAGCTGAGGCTTTCCTGTGTCCCCTCTGG